TCGAGGACGTTCTCCGCCTCACGAACCGCGCCGACCCAAACGCTCCTGACGAGAAAAAGCTGCGGTTCCTGATGCGAGGGGTGAAAGAGACCATCTTCCGAGGCCTTGTCCGCAACCCCCCAGCCACCGTCGAAGATTTCGTCAAGGAAGCCACAAACATCGAACGGGCACTTCAAGCACGGGCCTCTCATTACCAGCGACTCCCCGGCGTTGCTGCCTTCTCGACTTCCAGCTGCACCGGCTCGGACCTCCGCGACATCATCCGGGACGTCGTGCGGGAGGAAATCAGGAAGCTTCTTCCTGCTGCCGCAAGCCTGGATTCGCCCTCAATCGCCGTGATTGTCCGGGAAGAAGTTCAGAAGGCGCCGCAGCCACAAGCTCTTGTCAACGCCGCTCCCGAACAACCGACACTGAGCTACGCCGCAGCTACCCGACGACCACCGCCCCCTGCTCACCCGTACACCGCGCCATCCCGACGTGAACCTTCAGCGCCGCAGTTTCCCCGACGCCAGGAAGATCGGGCGCACGCCCACCCAGAACAGGCAGCGCCACGAAAGACCGACGTGTGGAGGACAGCGGATCGACGACACCTGTCCTATCACTGCGGTGAAGCCGGCCACATTTACCGTCGATGCCCCTACAGACAACTGGGGCTGCGCGGGTTCCACCCGAGCGACCCGCGCCCAAGATACGACGAACGCCCTCGCGACATTGAGGAGTACCTCCGACGCTCGCCCTCCCCAGTGTCGTCTCTCCACCGTGAAGCCCGCTCCCCATCGCCACGACGTTCAGCGTCCCCAGCGCAACGACCCAGCCGAGAGAGCCAATCTCCCCTGCGTCGCCGGGAAAACTAAGTGCGGCAACGCCTGGAGGTGACGTTGCCAAAAACGACGGAAGCAAACAGCCTCCAAGAACGCCGGAGCGCTCCCACTCTACCGACGCCCAGCATCGTACCGACGTCCCTGCAACGGTGTCCAACAGCCTAAACGTTGTTATTGACGGCCTCGACGCATCGGCACTCGTGGACATCGTGGACACCGGAGCGGACTACTCAGCCTTGAGTGGGAGGCTCTCTCGCCGCCTGCGAAAAGTGACGACGCCGTGGGATGGACCTCAAATACGAACCGCCGGAGGGCATCTCATCACACCAGTCGGAAGTTGCACCGCTCGCGTCAAGATCCATGGGGAGACGTGCCCTGTGAAATTTGTCATTCTACAAGACTGTGCCAGGGACGTCATTCTCGGCATGGAATTTCTGTCTGAATACGGAGCCGTCATCGACCTTCGTGAAAACAGATTGACGCTGCAAACCCCTGTGCCACCTTCAGAGAAACCCCAAACAGCGTCACCGCCATCCGAGTCGCTGCCGACCACGTGAACCTGCCACCGCGATCAAGTGTTGTCGTACCCATCATGGCCGATACAGCTACCTGCGGCGAAGTTGTCCTGGAAGGCAACCTTCAATTGCTCCTGGGAAGAGGAATAGTCGTCGCAAGAGGAGTAGCTGAACTTCAGGATGGGCGGACTGTGGTCCTCCTGACGAACTTCCGAAATGAAACGCAACACCTCAAAAAAGGTGCCGCTGTGGGCCACGTCGAGAAACTTCGGAACTCCGCCGAAATCGCCGCGATGGCTGAAGAATCATCACCACCTCAGCAAGACAGTAAGTCGCCAGCGCAGCTTGACATTGACCCTAAGCTTCCGGGCCCTAAACGACGGCAGCTGATTAACCTTCTCACCGAGTACCACGACTGCATTGCGACGTCGTCGAGGGTGCGCCAAACTGCCGTTGCGAAGCACCGAATCGTTACCGAGGACGACGCGCGCCCTGTGCATCGATCGCCGTACAGAGTCTCCGTCAAAGAAAGGGAGGTGATCCAGAAGCAAGTCCAAGAGATGCTGAACGACGACATAATCCAGCCATCAAGCAATCCTTGGGCTTCTCCAGTCGTACTGGTTAAGAAGAAGGACGGAACGCTTAGGTTCTGCGTGGACTACCGGCAGCTGAACGCGGTGACGAAGAAAGACGTCTACCCACTTCCCCTCATCGACGACACGTTAGACCGGCTGCGCCACTCTCGATACTTCTCATCGATGGACCTGAAGAGCGGCTACTGGCAGATCGAAGTCGACGAGCGGGACCGAGAGAAGACAGCTTTCGTCACGCCGGATGGGCTGTACGAGTTCAAGGTGATGCCCTTCGGACTATGCACGGCGCCAGCAACTTTCCAGCGTGTCATGGACACCGTACTGGCAGGACTGAAGTGGCAGAGCTGTCTCGTCTACCTCGATGACGTCGTAGTGTTTTCCAGCGACTTCGACGAGCACTTGCGACGACTCCGTGCTGTTCTTCAAGCCATACGGACCGCCGGACTCACCCTCAAGCCGTCAAAGTGTCGGTTCGCCTATGACGAACTGAAGTTTCTAGGTCACGTGGTTAGTAACGAAGGCGTTCGCCCCGACACAGAAAAGACTCGCGCCGTCGCGTCATTTCCAGCGCCGACAGACAAAGAAGGCCGTGAGAAGATTCCTTGGACTTTGTGCCTACTATCGTCGCTTTGTTCGGGATTTCGCAAGGATTTCCGCACCACTCACAAACCTCACGAAGGATGCCGAGAGGTTCGAATGGGCCGAGGAACAGCAGCAAGCATTCGACGAGCTGAAGCGACGACTCTAGACGCCTCCGGTTCTTGGACATTTCGATCAGGATGCGGACCACCGAGATTCGCACTGACGCAAGTAACGCAGGACTTGGCGCGGTACTAGTACAAGTACAAGAAGGCACCGAGCAAGTCGTCGCCTACGCAAGTCGGACACTGTCCAAGGCAGAGAGAAATTACTCCACGACTGAGAAAGAATGCCTTGCGGTCGTGTGGGCAATTACGAAGTTTCGTCCGTACTTGTACGGAAGCCCGTTCCGCGTACTCACGGACCACCACTCGCTCTGCTGGCTTGCGAACCTCAAGGACCCGTCAGGACGCCGCGCTCGATGGAGCCTCCGGCTACGAGTCTTCAACATGACTGTGGTTTACAAGTCGGGACGCAAGCACAGCGACGCTGACTGCCTGTCCAGGGCCCCTGTCGAAACACCTCCCGGCAGCAGCGACGACGATAACGACGAGTGCTTCCTAGGGGCAGTGAACACCGATGACATGGCACGACGTCAACGAAACGATCCGGAGCTGCGCGCCTTAATGGAGCACCTGGAAGGGCGCGTGAGTACCGTGCCCCGTATTTTCTCACGAGCCCTGCCAACCTTCGCCATTCGACAAGGCGTACTCTACAAAGAGAACTTCGGGGACAACAGCTCGCCGTGGCTGCTGGTAATCCCGACCGACCTTCGAGAGGAGATCTTTCAAGCATGCCACGACGACCCGACCTCCGGACACCTTGGGTACAGCAGGACATTGGCCCGTATTCGTGAAAAGTATTACTGGCCCAAGCTCCCCAAAACCGTCCACCACTACACCCGATCCTGCCACGAGTGTCAGCGACGCAAGAAACCGCCGACGAAGCCGGCAGGTCTCCTGCAGCCAATTCCTCCGCCAAATGCACCTTTCCAGCAGATCGGAATGAATCTACTTTGTCCTTTTCCGCGTCGACCCTGGGAAACCGTTGGATAATCGTCGCCACAGATTATCTCACGCGGTACGCAGAAACGAAAGCCCTTCCTTCGGGGACTGCCGTTGAAGTCACCAAGTTTTTCCTCGATTCCATTGTCCTCCGGCACGGCGCTCCCCAAGTTCTGATTACAGATCGCGGATCGCCGTTCATGGCACACCTGACCCAAGAAATTCTCCGGCTCAGTCACACCAGCCACCGTCGTACCACCGCATACCACCCGCAGACCAACAGGCTGACGGAGCGACTCAACAAGACAATCGACGACCTGATGTCTATGTACGTCGACGTTGAGCACAAGACGTGGGACGAGGTGTTGCCCTACGTCACGTTCGCCTACAATACGGCGGTTCAAAACACCACTGGATTCACACCTTTCCAGCTGGTACGTGGTCGAAAGGTAACGACCATGCTGGACGCAATGCTGCCCCATGAGCCATCTGACAATGAGAGCGACGACGCCCAGGCGGTTGCTCAACGCGCCGAAGAAGTCCGCCAGCTCGCCCGACTCATGATTCAAGACCAGCAACGCGTCGACGCAGGCCGCTACAACCTTCGTCGCAGGGACGTTCACTTCCAGCCCAGAGACAGGGTGTGGGTGTGGACGCCCATCCGTCGCCGCGGCCTCAGTGAGAAACTGCTGAAACGGTACTTTGGACCATACAAGGTACTTCGTCGCCTCGGCGAGCTGAACTACGAGGTGATGCCCGATGGAACACGAACATCGTCACGCCGCCCACCACGACCTGAGGTCGTCCAGGGCGTGCGACTGAAGCCGTACTACGCTCGATAGGACTGTGGACCTTATGTGTTTCAAATGACCCTTTAGTTTACCGTTCTGTTTTATTTGCTTCGTTTTGTTCTTGGGTTGCTTCGGGACGATGCACTTTTTAAAGGGGGGAGTAATGCCGCGCGCGCAGCTGGCCAAGTAGGCAGCGCGCGCGTGGCCTAACGGTTATCGCGCTTGCCTACCACGCAGAAGTCCAGGGTTCGATTCCTGGCCGCGACTACACTTTCTTGTTGACAGTGTAATTTGATGCTCTAGTGAATTCGAGAACCGTCTTGCTGATTCGAGGTTAGAATGTTCTACACACCGAACCTTATACGCCGAACGATCCAGAAACCCACGAGGGTACATAAGGGATTCCGCAAGGCGAGCGGAGTCAGTTTCGCCCCAGCGTTACGCCGCTGTTACGCCGACTTCGACGCCCGCGACGCTCTCTTATTTTCTTTTGTACCCTTTTATTTTTGGCACAAGTTCGCCACATTAAACGTTTATTTATTCCTGTTTATTTCTTGTTTATTGGTCTCCACCCGTGACAATATATATATATATATATATATATATATATATTTATTTATTTATTTCAGGACAGGCCCGCCTAGGTGGCGTTTGCGATGAACGTTACAGCATGGTAATGGTGGAGGACGTGCCTATGTCATTTGGAATGGTGAGCCTCTTGCCACACGAACTGGGACATGCGTAAGTTCACCTATGGAGCTTGTCGTGGTGCTGAGAAAACGAACTAAAACTTTTATTATTTTTAAGCGGTGAATTTTGCAACTTTGCCTTTCCGATCGGTGCGGATACAATCGGAAATACAAAGCTCCGCTAATATCCAAAGTCTGTATCTCCGATACAGACCTCCGATCACGGTCCATAATTTGTGTCTCGGATTCTATCTGATATACTGATCTCGGATGGTTTCCCGATTATAAACATTCCCCCATTGATACTTTATGTCTCATATAAACCTTACTGAAAACAAATAAACCAGTTATTTATTTATTTATGCCGCCTCTTAAGCATTCCGTCGTACTCCATATAGTAGTATTTTTTTCAGTACAATGTCTTGCATTGTCTGTAAATCTGAAAGGAGCAATGACCACATTTTGTTTTTAAGCAACTGAAAAGTATTAACACTTAACCTATCATTCCCAACAAGCGGGTTAAAAGATAATCAGGTTACTTGGATATTTAGTTTGTTGTTTGTTCTATTTAACACTGAAAACATTTGTTACCTCTCTCAAACAAGTGCAAATAAAATATATTTTCGGAGTACTGTACGAATATAAACCAGAGAAACACTACTCCGACATCTTAAAGCATATGAGATGATTATGAAGTCATATACACGCATGGCTTAGCGTAAATCACCCTGAATCTAATATACAAAAATCCGAATACACAACTTCCAGACCGAAAAGCAAGGTATTCATATATGATATCGGCATCGCTCGTGCAAACAGGATAAGGTTGAATCGCCCAAGTTTATCTATCTGTCTGTCTCTCTGACGTTTGATTTGTTTGCGTGCGTGCGTGTGGGTGTATGTTCCTGTGCGTGCGTGCGTTTGTGCATGTGTGTGCGTGTGTTTGTGCGGTGTGCGTGTGCGCGCGTGTGTGTGTGTGTGCGCGCGTGTGTGTGTGTGTGTGTGTGTGCGTGTGGTTTCATTGTCTCCGCACCAGGCAACTCACGCATTTGAGCTCTGTTGAGTTATTTTCATCCCGATCAGCTTAATTCTTGAATAACGACTTTTTCCAATACAAAGCAAAATGAATGGTACTACAGATCGGAGTCATTTGATATATGGAGGATTTGATTTTTAAAGATCATAGAGCTTTTTATTTTGGGAAGCTTGCCTTATTGACTATGCACGAGCTAATATATTTCAACCATACCATAGTATTTTTTTATCTTCGCAACTCTTCTGTAACAGACAAATAAAAGGTGATATTGCGTATAACTTTAGACGTATTAGATTTTTTACAAAAATAAAATTATGTACAAAATATATCGAACCAATTCTAAGGCCTTTCCTTCTGAAGCAGCACCCGTACAATTTTGTTTTTCATTTTGCCAAAAACCAAAAAAGTAGCCCATAAAAATGCGTATTATATTTTGAACATAAATATAAATGTGATTACAACGTCTCTAGCATCTTTCTTTTCCACTCTAGTGTTCTGTGTATGGTTTGCCATGCTAAACCTGTGCAAGGTACGCTAACGTTTCTGTGTTCAATTTACCCTCTGACAGACCAGAACACATGTTATACATACAAATACAATACAGTTTAGAGGTTGGGGGCTGCACATTGTGTGTGCGGGTGATATCTAGATAATTCATTCCAGACAAAACAATTGTTCTTAGTTACGAAAATATGCAATACGTATTTCGATATCTTAAACTGAGGACATTTAATTAACCATATTTCTCTTCTGTGATTTGATCAGAAAAATGTAGCTTGTTTTCTTTTTTTAAATAATAGATATTTTCTCTTGAAAACTATGGAGTCATATTTTGAAAGTAAACAACAGTACAAGTGATCGGCCGCGAGTAACTGGCAGTGAACAATCGAATTAAAGGGTAAAAAAGTGTTGCACATAGAGAAAGAGGGGGTAGACAGGGGTAAGAAGAGTTAAAGTGTACAGCAGCGAAATCTAATGATTTCAATTTTTACTTCCTAATGTTACAGTCTTGGGGCGCCTCACGACGGATTAACACATATGTGGAATGAATGTCTTCCGCCAAGAAACGACTGCCGCAGAAATAGCAATATTGGAAACTTCATTATGCATCCTTCCAAACCAGGCAATGTGAAGTTCTCAAATTGTTCCAAAGAACACATGATAGCATTCATATCGTAAGTATTGCATCACATATTTAAAAATAAAAAAAACAGGATGAGATTTACCTTTATCCTGCTACAAAACGTTTACCCATAAGATGACAGGAAGGCGGAAGCAGCGTGCTCGTTGCTCGGTGGACCAATGAACGGCCTGTTTTGTTTTTTTTTGTCGCTCGATCCTGCTTTCTTTGCACGTGGAAAAGGCCGGGACTGCGGTCACGTGAGGAAAAATGGGCGGACAAGTGGTCCATGTAGAGTGTAGCCTCCATTACCCTGACACCTTAGTAATGAACGGAGTACATATACGACCTCACACTAGCGCGCATCACATACATTATATCTTGTGGCGAAGAGCGGACGCCAGTTCTGTATATTGCTACAGAATTCAAGTAAACTTACACAATAGTGCGATATAGTTAGCAACCCGATACAACGTATTTAGGTGTTCACTAAATGCAAAGCTAAATGCTAAATGATGACCAATAATTTCCGCGAAATAGTTTGTGGCGACCAAACCACCACTTGAGCGACCCGGCTGTAGCACCTAGCAAAGGGTGTAGGGGGGGGGGGGGGGGGGGGAAGCTGAGTAAAGAAGGAATTCTCTGATTGTTCCGAGTCTTGTTTTTTTGATGATGACTACAAGAATGGCTACTTGAACCACCGTGGCAGCGAGACGAAAGCATAATTTGGCGTCTCACAAGCGACCCGTCCGTGTGGTCGGCTCCGGAAGGGGAGTGCGTTTTCTGTCGTTTGTCTCGTGCTTGCGTTCACAAGTTTTGCGAGATTCCGGCCGTAGGCAGATCCACTCGGCTAGAGGAAGCACCTTTCCTTCACGTGGCGTTCGCGAACAAGCCGTACTTCCGTGCATTATGGCACAGCTGACACTAGAGTCTTGGTCTGAGCCCTACCAGCCACTGTCAGTCAGTCAGTCAGACAACTTTATTGGTGCCCGAAAAAGGAATTAGGAAGTGGTGAGGAGCCCACTAAGTCCACCCCCCCCCCCCCCCTCAGACGACGGCCAGGATCCCTTGGACCTTGGCGGCGTCTTCGGCCAGTCGGATTAAGTCTTCTTGGACCCGAGGGTCCGAGCTGAGCAGAGTTGTCTCCCAGCTCTCTTCATCTCTCAGCTGCGTCAGTAATTTATTCGCGCAAGCGCCCCTGTCTATGTTACTACACTTCCACACCATGTGTCTCAAGTTCGCCCTCTGCCCACATAGTTTGGACGTGCCCGTGTATCTGTCCGGTTACCACTGATTTAGTAAAGCCGGAGACGGATAGGTGTTCTTTGCAGACGTCTTCACACCGTGGACTGTCTCTTGTTCAGCGAATGGTGCGCGGGGGGAAACCTCCTCCTCCCGTCCGTGCAGTGGTTGACAATATATCTAAATGTCACCAGCCTGTCTCTCCCGGACGACGCGACGGGGGCCCCAGACGTTGTGCCGGCCCGTACGGTAAGTCTTCGGGCCGCGTAGTGAGCCTCCTCGTTGCCAGGAAGCGACGCGTGTGCTGGTGTCCACACGAGTCTCACTCTTTCTCTGCCACCGAAGTACGTCGCACCCCTGGGGACAGGCAGAGTGTTCGGCGACAGTCTCCCTTTGGCGAAGTTGCGAACCGCGTTCTGCGAGTAGGACACGATTGTCCTGACGCCGGGCATGCTTAGCGCGAGCGCCTCCGCCACCTCTTCCGCCGTCTCCGGGTCGTCGGTTTTCTCGCTGCAGCTCGCGACGAGGTGTCCGTCACCGTTCACCACCGCCGCTGTTATGGCTCCTCTTCCCTTGTACTCGGCCGCGTCGACATACGCGACCCCCTCCTCTTGTTCTAGCGCTCTTCCCAAGGCTTTGGCTCTCGCCTCCCTTCTCTTGGCTTCGTGTACAGAATGCATGTGCTTTGGGATGGGGGAAATCTGCAACATCTCCCTGATGTGTAGAGGAACGTCCACTTTCTCGCCTCTCTGTGTCTCATACCGGAGGCCGAGGCTCTCGAGAATTTGCCTGCCAGTCGCGCTCCTCGTGAGCCGTTCCAACTGGGCCGTTCTTTGAGCCTCGATGAGCTCGTCGATGGTATTGTGTACCCCCAGGGCCGCCAGCTTCTCGTTTGACGTCGAGTCTGGCAGCCCTAGTGCTCGCTTGTATGCTTTTCGCACTATACATTCCAGCTTGGACTTTTCGGCCACTCCGAGTCTCATGAAGGGAACCACGTACGCCAGCTGACTCATCACGAAAGCTTGTACCAGGCGTATGAGGTCGTTTTCCTTCATCCCATTGTTCCTGTTTGAGATGCTGGCGATGAGCCGGGCGACCTGATAGGCCGTCCCTTTTAGGGCCTGTATCATCTCCCTGTTCTTTCCATCTGCCTGTATGCACAGGCCCAGCACCCTGATGCTCTCGACCTGGGGGATGCGGTGCCCTTGCGCGAAGAGTTCGATGTTCGATTTCTCCTTCCCGCCGCGTTTGGGTCTCAGCAGAAAATACTCGGACTTCTGCGGAGAGCACGCCAGTCCCCTGGGAGCTACGTACTCTTCCACCACCCAAATTGCTTCCTGCAGTACTTCCTCTATATAGCCCTCGCTGCCGCCAGTCACCCACAGCGTGATGTCATCGGCGTAGATGCTATGCTGCAGTCCGGCTATCTTCTCAAGTTTCGCGGGCAGGCAGATCATCGCCACGTTGAAGAGGTACGGGGACAGCACCGATCCCCGTGGCGTTCCTTTTCTCCCAAGGCAGATGTCTTCGGACTCGACCCCGCCGACCGCCAATCTCGCCTTCCTCCCGCTCAGGAAGTTCTGGATGTATTCATATGTTCGCTTGCCCACGGCCAGCGCCCTGAGGTTGTCGAGGACTGTGTCGTGTATAATGTTATCGAAAGCCTTCGTCAAGTACAGGCCCAGGATCGCTTTGGTGTCGAGGGGGGAGCTCCCCGTTCCATCCACTATCTGATGCTTAAGGCGCAGCATCACGTCCTGAGTGGACAGATGCGGCCTGAAGCCAGCCACCGTCAAACCATGGCGTACAATCTCCAGAGTAACCAGCTCACGAAGCGGCTAAACAAGACCATCAACGACGTGGTATGAATGTACGTTGACGTAGAACTCACGACGTAGAACAGGTATATTACGTCCGCCTACAACACAGCCGTTTAAACGACCACTGGAGTTATACTATTTTAGCTGGTTCACAGTCGCAATGTAACGACGATGCTCGACGCGATGCTGCCCCATTCGCCAGGTGCCGAGGGAAGTGAGGAAGCCCAGATGGTTGCTCAGCGGGCAAATGTCCCTCCAACTTGTCCGGCTTGGTATTCAAGACCTGTAACTTGATGACCCTGGCCGCTAAAACCTTCGTCTTCGGTGCGTTCTTCCTGCGAGGAGACTGCGTGCGGGTGTGGACAGCGGTCCGTCGTCACGGCCAGTGTGAGAAGTATTTAATGCGGTACTTTGAACCCTACAACATTTTTCGCCGCCTAGGTGGACCTGAAGAACAAAGTGGCGCCTGAAGAAACCCAGATTTTTTCACGCCGCCGGCAGCGATTCGAGGTGGTTTACGTCGTTCGTCTCAAGCCATTCTATACACGATAGCACAGTGGGGAGTTTTGTGTTCCAAGTTACTTTTTAGTGCTCCGTTACTTTTATTTTGCAATTTTGTGTTGTGTGTTGCATCGGGGCGATGCATTTTTTGAAGAAGCGAGTAATGCCACGCGCGTAGCTAGCCAAGTATACAGCCCGTCCGTGGCCGGGTAGTTACCGTGCTTGGCTCCCACGCAAAGGGCCAAGGTTTGATGCTTGGGAGCGGACGCACATTTGTTAAATCTTTAATTATCGCGTTTTGGTGAGTTCAAGATTCCTACTGCTTATTCCAAATCCGAATGCTCTACGCGCCGAGTTTTCTACACCGATTGTTCCAGAAACCTAAGCATATACACATGGGGCACTGCATGTTGAGCCGGGGTCAGCCTCGCCCCAGTGCTCGATTCTGATGTTACGCCGCTCTCGAAGGGTGCGGCGCTAGCCTTTCTCTATTTTATTTTGGGCACAAGTTCGCCCCATGAAGCGTTTAGTTTTCTCGAGTTTTCTTGGCCTCATGAACTTTCATCTGTTTCAATACTAAGTGAAAGATCAAAAACTATAAAGTAAAATGAATATAAACAAGCGTTTGGAGATGATCAAATACGTTTGATTTAATTTCTGCACATTTTGCAATTTTGTTAAAAAAAACGTAACTGCTTTTGTTATAACGCAATTCCTTTGTCCTTTTATCATCAGCCACTGTAGCTATTATTTTTCCCATCTTTACTTGGAACCAACAGCTTGTAACATCGGCTCCGCCCGGGATTTAGTTATTAACAATGAGTATTATCGCAGACTGCGTTAGTTCGTGGGGTTAAGTTAAGAAGACACTTATGACCTCATTACATATGCCCGCTATGCTATGTCAAGGGATAGATTTCAGCGTATTTTTCATAAAAATGAAAGATTTAACGTTATATAGCACTTTATATGCAAAATATATGAACAGTATATACAGCGCCGAAAAACGACAGGACAATGAGAGTAAACAGGACGAGGCGCACTCACAAGTAAAGTTTATTTAGGAAAAAACACGTAATATATAGGCCGTTAAAACGCCTATTCATCCCATCAATCCAAAAGACCTCTTGATAAAATTAAACTCTTCCCCTGAGAGAGCAAGGGAAGGCTCGCTAACGCATTCACCTCCCTTCGCTCTAATCTCAAACGCCTCGTGCACTTCTCGGCATATTTTATCTTTATATTTCGCCAGAACCTTCACATCATGCAAAACTGGTGAGCACGGGCAGCGACTACAATGAACAGCTAGATTACCAGACGGGCTTGCTCTCATAGCTGCCGCATGTTCCCGTGCACGATCATTGACACATCTACCAGTCTGGCCGATGTACACGGAGCCGCAAGTCAGCGGAATTTCGTAAACCACTCCGACGGCACACTCAGCATATTTGGTTTTGTGTTTTGTGCCGCATTGCTCCATGTCTGTCTGGGGATAATTGATTGTACGGCACAAGCGTGCCATCTTTTCCGGAGCTGAAAATACTACGGATACTCTAAACCGCTGTGCAACTTTCTTTAAATTATGGGACATGGCATGCAAGTACGGAATAATTACCAGTCTCGTATTAGGCTTCTCTCTTGCCCGATTGGTTGCCCCTTTGAATTTTTTTAACAATCCTTCCGCAACCTCAGTCAGGCATCCTTGTGGCAAACCTGCCTTCTGCAGGCGTGAAATATGTATATTAAAGCTGTCTTGCACAGAATGTTCACAAGATCGTTTTAGGGCCATCTCCAAACACGTGCTAGCAATGCCCCTTTTTACTAATTTCGAATGGGTAGACTCGTACGGCAGGATGCGTTTCTTAGATCTTGGCTCGTACACCCAGCATATGTGGATCTCCAGAAAGCGTAGTTTTCGGTCAAGGAACTGTAGTGTCCCTTCTACCGGCTTCTCGTGCGTAAACCTCAGACCTCCAGGACACGAGGAAAACACATCGAGCATCTGGGTTACAACGCCATCCAGCGATCGCTCTGCCAATTCGCTAAACACAAGGTAATCACCAACGTAGCTATAAATCTTTATGCTGTTGTCGTGCCCCAGCTTCTCGGCAATGGTGTTGTCACGTTTGCTTAAAAAAATATCGGATAGCACCGGCGCGACACACGACCCGATACAAATGCCCTTCTTTGCAAGAAAACGTCGCACATCGTAGACTACTTTAGAGACCAAGACTTAAAACTGCTTACGTCAGATAAGGAGGGTGGCTTTGTAGTGGCGTCGCGGGACTTGTACCATGAGAAGGCTCAGCAGGCTGTTCTCAAGAACTTCAAGAAAGTGAGTCCGGGACCTTTGACCAAACTCAAGACGCGCGCTAAGGAACTTTGCAGTGAAATGAACCTTCTTGGACTTCTGAAAAGTGTGCAATCTATCAAGGGACTCGATTTAGACATTTTCTTTTCTGCCAAGACGCATTAGACAGGTATTCCGTTTAGAGCGATTGTTACAGAGAGGGGATCTCGGCAATCCCAGCTGTCCAGCTTTCTCGCCAAACACCCGTTGTGCTTGGAACTACAAGACCCTTTCTTGGTTAGAAATTCGGAAACGATTATTGATTATTTGAAGGGAGACGCTAATGGGATGCGTAGTGCTTTTTCTTTGGATGTGGAAAATCTTTTTTTATTCTATCCCGCACGACCATCTCTTTTCGGGGGTTAGAAAATGCATAGAACGGAACGGTGAGGTGTCATTTGCCAATTGGAGTGGCATCAGTGCGGAGAGTTTTTTGGAACTGTTGTCGTTTTATCTGTCGCACACGTATGTTTCCTTTCAAGGTGATATGTACGTCCAAAAGAAGGGCATTTGCATCGGGTCGTGTGTCGCGCCGGTGCTATCCGATATTTTTTTAAGCAAATGTGACAACACCATTGCCGAGAAGCTGGGGCACGACAACAGCATACAGATTTATAGGTACGTTGATGATTACCTTGTGTTCAGCTAATTGGCAGAGCGATCGCTGGATGGCATTGTAACCCAGATGCTCGATGTGTTTTCCTCGTGTTCTGGAGGTCTGAGGTTTACGCACGAGAAGCCGGTAGAAGGGACACTACAGTTCCTTGACCTAAAACTACGCTTTCTGGAGATCCACATATGTTGGGTGTACGAGCCAAGATCTAAGAAACGCATCCTGCCGTACGAGTCTACCCATTCAAAATTAGTAAAAAGGGGCATTGCTAGCACGTGTTTGGAGATGGCCCGAGAACGATTTTGTGAACATTCTGTGCAAGACAGCTTTAATCTACAGATTTCACGCCTGCAGAAGGCAGGTTTCCCGCAAGGATGCCTGACTGAGGTTGCGGAAGGATTGTTAAAAAATTTCAAAGGGGCAACTAATCGGGCAAGAGAGAAGCCAAAAAAGAGACCGGTAATTATTCCGTATTTTTCATGCCATGTCCCATAATTTAAAGAAAGTTGCACAGCGGTTTAGAGTACCCGTAGTATTTTCAGCTCCAGAAAAGATGGCACGCTTGTGCCGTAGAATCAATAATGCCCAGACAGACATGCAGCAGTGCGGCACGAAACACAAAACCAAATAAGCTGAGAGTGCCGTCGGAGTGGTTTACGAAATTCCGCTGACTTGCGGCTCCGTGTACATCGGGCCAGACTGGCAGATGTGTCAATTATCGTGCACGGGAACATGCGGCAGCTATGAGAGCAAGCCCGTCTGGTAATCTAGCTGTTCATTGTAGTCCCTGCCCGAGCTCACCAGTTTTGCATCATGTGAAAGTACTGGCGAAATATAGATAAAATATGCCGAGAAGTGCACGAGGCGTTTGAGATTAGAGCAAAGGGAGATGAATGCGTTAGTGAGCCTCCCCTTGCACTCTCAGGGAAAGAGTTTGATTTTATCAAGAGCTCTTCTGGATTGATGGGATGAATAGGCGTTTTTAACGGCCTCTATATTATGTGTTTTTTCCTAAATAAACTTTAGTTGCGAGTGCGCCTCGTCCTGTTTACTCTCCTTTTTGTCCTGTCTTTTTTTCGCGCTGCATATACTGATCATGAACCAACTAGTCCAAATTTCTACTTTGCTGCACAATATGTGTCTTTGAGCTTTAATTTTTGTGATACTAAGGTAGGCTATGCCAAACTTTCGATATCGATCTCGCGCCACTGATGTCGCAGTTCTTTCGAACACAATTAAGTTGTTATCGGTGAGTTATGGCCTGAAAATGCTCAAAGAAGCAAGCGTAGAGCCAAACTTGACTTCCTTTGGCCAAAGCCTGGCTATCATGGACCTAACTCGCTAAACAAGTGCCAAAGGTAGGCTTCGCCACTGGTTGTTGCGATGCCATCTGGCAGCATTGTGCCTAAATCACCAAGACAGTGCCAGTGTCAGGCTTTGCTTCTGGCTTTTCAATTTCATATGGCTACGTTGGGTCTAAATACACAAACAAGTGCGAGATTTAGGTTTCACTGCTGGATCTTCAGTTCATACGTGAAGTTCCTACAGCAGACAACAACTTTACTGGCGCGAAATGAATGTTGCATGAAGAATGTGGCGTCTGTGACTCAAGGTTGAGGCTTCAGAAATTCCGTGACGAGCCAGAGAAAAGCCAAAGAAACACCAGATGAATTAATCTGGCAATAACTAACACTTGAGAGCAAAATCGTTTTTAGTCAAATTTAGGCCCTAAGGACTCCCAAGCTTGTGCCAAGTTAGGCGTTTCTCTGGCGCGTTACCTGGTTTACGTCTAATCATATACACCTTTTGTATTTTAGAACTCTATCCACCAGTTGTTTCGAGATTAAATCAAATCAAAACTGCACAACAGAAGTGAAAGAGCTACCAGGTGTGTCTACGAACTTAACAAAAATTTGCCAAATAGCCCATCCTAATTTTCCAGAGTGGAAAGTGGAAACTGTAAGTATAACTATTAATTTTTTATTGCACACGGTTGCGACCGTTCAGTTTTAGTATATTGTGTTTTCCCACACTAGAAATGAATATTCCAACTCCGAGCATTACCTAAATACATAACTCTATAGTATTCTGCACATCTCTGACACTTAAAGAAAGGCAGTTCGGCTACACCTCTAGTACAATTAAATATATTTACCTAAACCCCTCAGGCTCTTCAATGTATCAGAAACAGAGTAGAATTTCTGAATGTGTGCACACGTTGATTAAAGGGAAACTCCCCCTAGTTCTAAGGAATTTGGCCTTATGTGTAATAATATTTCCTGCAGTAATATTAAACGGTTCGAAAGAATTTCTTAAAAAGATATGTTAGATTTTTGTTCTACTTTTACTGAAGATAACCAAACAACAAAACCGCAACTCAGCCTGCAGCGAGCAACATTGCTCCTTCGACGTCATGTACATACTCTAACCATGTGTGAACATAATTTGACTAAATCCGTTACAAAACTGGTCACAGACGCTGCTCTTGCGGGAACTGTACCCCCCCCCCCTCCCCCTCATGCCTCCACGGTTCACCTCCCGTCGTTCAACGGGCCTGACGTGTGGTATGGTAGCAGCAGGCTATTCTATGTAATACGTCCGTTCTGAAGCACAGCGTCTACATGGCGTCCCACCGTACTCTATATAACGCACCGTTGTGAAACGAAAATTTAGATGGCACTTCAAACGACGGGAGTCGGACTGACGTAGCTGAGGGGGATGCCCCAGAACTGAGGTAATCAAGTAACGTTTCCATGTGGTACAAATCGGGACGTCAAGTAATAGGAAGCCAAACGCAGCTGGGCGCAAGAGAGAGCGTATCCTCTGCTACGACTGGAGGTCTGCTATAAACGACAACGCCTGCAATACCGCGCCAGTAGCTTGAGTTTTATCGCAGAGAAAGGCAAGCTTTCCCAATGGCTTGTTTCGAAAGCAATATTAAAATGTTCAGTTCAGTAAGCTACACGTAAATATGCCGCGATCGGTTTTTACAAGCACGCAGTGCTTAACGTGGTAAATTAGCTCTCTCGCTGTGACTGACGCTTCCAGCAATCAAGCATGCTCGAACGAGAGCCCACCACTGCTCACAACCGCATGAAAATCTCGCGAATCACTTGACCAACGATGAGCGCGCTGCTAGTACCCCCTGCAGCCTTTGCTTGAAAACGTACAGAACAACCGAACAATATCCCTCAGTGCCCTGAACATGACGTAGGCAGCGCATGGTGAGCTGCGCCTAGACGGTGGAATTGACTGCGGTGTTGGCCACACCTCGCCTCGCCCGGTAATATTTGCAAATTTCGAAGATTTCGCACGACTAAAACTTTGCTTGTCTGTTTCATCAACGTTTAGGCGGAATTAGACCTAAATAGTTTTTTCGTGGTTTTCTAAGCGATACTAAAGATAAATTCATTAATGTCTTAATATCGAGAATGAGCCCAAGTTGCCCTTTTAGTTAGTATGTAGTAATATTGCCAAACCAATTGCCGCTAGAAGTTTATGTATTTAAAAAAATGTATTCCCTTAGGGCCGAAGCATTAGAGAGGGGGCGAGGATTTGGGTAGTCAAAAAAGTTTAAAAGTTGTTTTACAGGCTGAAAACAAATTCCAGGTAGCTAAAGAAACTTTAAACCTATTGAAATCACTAACAGGCCTATAGAAAGGGGAAGGCGATTCGTATCACAAGAAGTTTAGGGATGAAATACTGTAGCAGGATTTAGTGTTACATGGGAGTGTGTCAAATATGCAGCTCTGATGGAGGCCTGAGGATATGTAGATGGAGTCATTAATTAGGTGATTTTTATATTGGAATTAGTCTAATAAACCTTGAGGGCGGTTAGTAAATTAAACCTACAAATGCGCATAGATTTACGACTCTTAGTACTGTTTTGTCGCGGTACTGCTGTCACTTTTACTGGTTCAGTATTCTAGTTGGCTGTAACACTATATGTACAATATTTATCGTTTAGGTTTTTGTTCGGTACCAACAACTTGCAATCATTAAAAGCTCAGGTCGAAACTAATTTTCCCACTCAAGACACTAGCTTCACGCAGACCAAACCTAAAGTTAAATTTATTATTTCACAATTATGTTTAAACGACTACGTATATAATATTTGATACCGAAGATTTGTAAAGATCTTTGTTTCCAGCATAGGTGAAATAAGTTAACTACTTTTTCATGTGTGCAGGAGCATGCTTCGGTATCAACCCATTTCCGTTCCAGTCTCCTGCGAGCCGATTCACACGACGGTCCGAATCGCGACTTTCGTCCGCGGACCATGTTCCACGTGACTGTCAGGTCACTGTTTCTTGCGACCCATGCCACGTCCGCGCACGTGCGCACTGAAGAAGTCGGGCTGCTTTTCACTAGTAAATTTTTGGTCGGTGACTTAACTTACTTCAAAAGCCTTCAGCCTTGCAATGGTACAACTTTGTTTTTTGGTTTGCTTTGGACGATTAAAACAAAAAAAATGTTGCATTAATGTGTTGTTTAGCGCGCGCTGGTTTGTTTTGTGACGCGATTCGTTGTTCGCGCGTGAAAGAAGCTGCAGAAACTTTGCCTGGCTGACGCGACGCAGGTTTCCGTACTCCACCGTGCTTGTGTCAAAACGCCTCTCGCATAGCACGCCGGAATATTTTTTGCACGTCCAATGATTTTCTCAACTAGCAAGGCCTTTATTCTGGCTGTTGCGTACAAAAGTGTTGTGCACGAGCGCGGATTGTATGAAGGCATCTCCAGACAGCTCACCGCCGACCCATGACTTCGTCCCCTCTACACCGAAGGCTCTTCGAGCGGGACCATGCCTGTGGCACTGTTATGCCTTGTGTAGTTAGTAAAGCTAGTGGCGCTTCGTGCTTAGCCCATGCTGTGGTCTTCATTGCTCTGCACGTGACAGCGATGCTTGATTCTTTTTTTGGCAGCAAGCGTCAATTTGGCTCTCAGACAACGGTGCCAAAAACGCAATCGTGCGATGTCAAAGCTTCGCGGCAATGTGGAATCGCGACCAGGTTCGGCCCGTCTTCGCCGCCGCTCATCGTCTCCTTCGCGTGGATGCGCTTTGGAGCCGGACAAACCGCGGACGTGCCTTCACGTGATCAATCTGTCCGTGAATGAGTCTGTCGTGTGAATCGGCCACGAATGAGAATCAACAGGCCAACGTCCCTTTCAGTCATTGCAGTAAGGCTAAAATGCGACCAATGTTCTTATATGCAAACTTTTTAAATACTTTTATACAATCCAACCGCACGTAGCATTTCTGGGTTTAAAAAATGTCCCACTTTCAAAGCTGGCGCCAAGGAATAATGTATCTTTGTCGCTCTATGTCTTTGGTACGCCTTAAAACTCCTAGACCATTCTCGTTTCAAATTCAGTTCCAGCGACGCCGGATTATCCTGCTGAGCCTTTTTGCGCGTGATCAACTGAATAAATAGTGTTTTGAAGAATATCGTTGTGGAGAGCCGACACAAAACAAGAATAAGTTACAAATGAGTAGTGATCAAGGATAAATTACCAGATAACGTGATAAGGCAGGCGAGCTGGTTAAAGTTAAACATTTCAAAAACCTGTTTTCTGTAACCGAAGCGTTCGGTTACCCACTGAACCTGGCTCTTGTGAGGACAAGCTTGTTAGAGGGCACTATCGAACAGAGACATGACTATTCCAAATTGGACTAATTTAGAATGCCAACTCTTAAATGGCAACAAGGAATTTGCCGCCACTTCGCCGTACTCCAAACATAGTCATCTATGTTTGAGACGTCCTTTTCTGTACACTCTTTGTAGCCCCCACTTTGCGTTTTAGAAATGTAGAACTTACCAGCTTTTTAGTTACTTTCGGCTGACAGATTTTTTCATCGCCCGATTCGGGTCCTAGATGTCTCTTGGGATGAATCGTCTTCAGTACATTGTCTTCATTCTTGCTGTTTTCGATATGATACACTATAGGTCGATCAGCATTTGGAATTCATTTAGTGTTAAATTTGAACAAAAATCGCGGATAACACAAATAAACTCATAAAAATATGAAAAGGCAAACTACAAAAATGCTAATGCATAGCAAATAAATAACAGTTTCAAAAACTGACGGTGTATTTAATTTTTAAACAACAGTTTAAAGAAAAATGCCGTTTTGAATGCTGTAGTAGCTTCGACTATGAATTGACCTGCGGAGCTGAACATTTCCTACCGGATGGAGCTGACTGTGGGGATGGAAAGGTAAAATACTTTCATATTTGTACTTCAGTTGTCTTGAGTGATTTAAGGTAAAGAATGGTGACACTTACAAGAACTGTTTTTTAATATTGGTTTTCAGTTGCAGACCTAGGGAAGAATGTTATTTTTTTTTATTTTACATACACGTGCCCACTGTCTCAAGTTTGTTAAACGTCCTTTGCGAGATGCCATATTTCCAATATATATAAAAACAGAACAGCGTGTCTATCATCAATCAGAAAATTGTTCACACCTTATATTGAACACTAATGTTGTCTGCGGCCTTCAATATAGTGTTAGCAAAGAAAAGAAAATGTATTTGTTTTCATGCAATCCTTTTTGTGTTCGCTTCTTCCGATATTTCATTCATCTGTTAGCTGCTTGACGAAACCGAACTTTTTGTGGTAATGCCGATTGCTCGACCGATTAAGGCAAATTTTAACCGTAATCTTGTTTTCTACAAATGTTTCATAAACTGAATTCAGCATTAGCAATATCACGTGTAGAAGTGTGTTTATTTCTTTTAGCGCACCACTGAACACAAGTTGAGAAACCCACGCAGAAATCGCTGTTAGAGTGGACCTACTTCATATGTTTTTATGATTGAAAGCAATCTTTGCTCACTCGCTTGCCGTGAACCAAAGGGGCTCGGGAAAAGAGAAGGTTTCCTATAGTTATGGGAGAGAAGGCGTGGAAAGAAAAGGGCGATTGTCTATCAAATACGAATAAAAACGATCACCCTTAAATTAAATATTCGTCAATGTAGTCAGCCCGGCAAACCTTTCGTATCTCTGCAGATCAGCGATCTCGAAATTTAAGTGTATCTTAAACGTAGCCCCTTAAAAAGGAGAACATTTTATATAATTTTTTCCAATGTCCTCTTAATTGCATGAACGCACACTGGCGGACCGAAGTAATACCAAGCTGTGACTCGTGCATCACATAGGATTAGCGAGTTTACGAATTGTGTACCTAAATTTTTTCATGGCGGAAAAAATACAATCTTGTCACCACGCGCCTATCAAAAACGCGCATTGGGTTTGGCACATAGACAGTGGTGACGACACTCCCCTTTTAATACGCAAACCATCTGGGCACGGTGTAAGAAGGCCCAGATGGAGTAACGCCGTTTCTGGAGGCTGTTGGAAGAGCAGCTGTCTGGTCATTAGTTGAACAATGTCAACAACATAGTTTATGTACAAGAATTTATATTGCAATTGTTCCGCATCGTTCGCACACGGCCAGACCTCGGTGCTTCCTCCGTGTGTTTTTTTTTTAGGATCCCGCTTCTTCTTTTTCTTTGTGGGGTGCTCGCTTCCATATAATAAATTATAACACCTCCCCCCCCCCCCCCCCGCCCTTTCCCCCGCAAAAATAAGCAAGTGCCCATATGCCGTTGTAGTGAACTTTTAAGCTGAGAAAAGTTAATACTATCGGAAGATAAGATTTTCTTTTTTTTGCGGAGGGGATGGAGGTGTTTTATAGCTCCACAAAACAAGCGCTTGGTGTTTGTGCCTGGCATGCAGAATTGAAGAGGATGGTAAGTGAGCTCGTTTAAGTTGTTGCTCTTGGCTATTCCTTTACTGCAGGCAATCATCGCTGACTCCTGCTGGTGCTGTGGTCTCGATCTCGATGAGTAGGTAGTCTAGCAAGGCTTCCATATGGCATTGCCGAAGTCCTTGTGCTGTTACAACGTCCTCCCTCAGCACGTTACGTTCGTCTCGCGGGCGCCGTCAGAATGCTCGAAGTACCGTACGTTGATGGCTCTCGGTCATCTCCTAATGTGGGTAGGGACGTCGTCGCAGTTACGCTTTCTTCGTCTGTGAAAATGGTTTTCCGTTCTGAGCGATTAACTCGCGGGAAGAAGACGGCCACGGTGTATGAGGGAAGAGTCTTGATTACGATATTTGTTAGCATAGCCGAATACGTATTGAAGGAAATTCTGAGTCCTCGAAGACTTGGAACGTGGCCTTCCACTTGGTCAAAAAGCCTTTGCAGTCCCTTCGCATTGTTGAAGGGGGTCACCGCTTAAAGAGTTCGAAGCTTTGAAAAATGGTATTGCTAGATCTGTTTGAAGTCTCCAATATGTCGTGTCAAACTTTCTACTGGATCATTGTAGTACAGATCGGTGACTTGGAGGCCAGCGATAGAGGCTCACGCAGGTAAGCTGACCAACGACTATAGGTGCTGAAAGTGCTGGCTGTTTGACAGATCGTCATTGTCAAGTACGGCTTGTTTGAATTTCGCCAACATGGCCTCCGCTCCAAACATTCGCCCCTAAATGACTGTATCTGCTAATTGGGAAGCCTTATGCCACTGCGTCTCCTTTAGCCTCTTCATTCGTAGTGTAGTCAATTGCCGATGCTGATGAACGCGGCGGTTCTTTTGAGCGCAGTTGCGTCGCTTGGCTTTGAAGCACACTCGAAACGGAATGTGTCTGTTCTTGGTACGTCATAACGGACGGGCATTCGGCTTCAGGGTCTCCATTCGCAAAGAATGAATGGCGCCAATTCGGTGTTGAATTTCATGAGCTCTTCGGAGCTGACGTGACGCGAGAGGATTTGTCATTGGTATCCTCTTGCATGTTCGTCTCTAAGTTGATAGTGCAGTGTATGACACGTGCGTGTCCTTGGCCTTTAGAGAGATGCTGTGTTCTGTCTTATCACCAGCTTGAAAACTGTAGTCACGTGACCGTAACCGGAGGCACGAGTGACCTAAAACAAACATAGCGTTTTCTCTGGAGTCAATACCAAGTGAATAGGACAGCTTCAAGACGGCGAGCTTTTAAAGTTCCAAATAAACTGCCCAACCCAAAAGGGACTCCAAAACAGGAAGTTTGAAGATCCTATATTTTAGGCCGTGAAACCTACATCATAAATTGACAAGCAGAATTAGCCGCGACTTCTTTCCGCGGAAGTTGTCCAAAACAATATATCCACCAGAAAATACCGCAGAAACGCCAACTTCGTCGAAGTGCATACTCAAGGGAGCTTGTAAACTCTGCATATTATACATAGGAGTCTTACCATCTAACTGGCCTTTTTGATTATATGTATTACGAAATGGTAAATTTGTGTTACTTGTAAACACACCTTCCGAAACATATTACTGTTGTCAGCGAGCTGCGAAATTTATGGTGCTGATTATTTCTGGGCAATCTTTTTTTTCAATTCTAAGTTCAGTTTATATCGCTGCCATCTATAAACAAACTCTGTGTACCCCAGTGAAAATACTTAGTTTGGCTGAGGGATCGAAGCTCAGCAAACAACCTTAAGGTCTCAGATTTAAAAAAAGACTGGCAACAGCACTTGCTGATTTGCGGAATTCTCAAAAACGTAAGGTGATATGATATCCGTAGTGTGGCACGTACAAAACGATCACGTGATATTTTTGGGCGGTATATCAAAGCAAAAACTTGCTTAAGAAAAAAAAAATGAGAAGGCGATTGTCTTGGTTAACGACATTCTTTTGTTGAAGTTCAACTAGCAAGCGTTTTATTTTCTTTCTTTATAAGCAAATACCCCGCATTCTTGTTTGATTAACCCTTTTAAGGAAATATAATTTACAGTGTTTAATTTTACCGCGGGCGCGGCAAGTAATAGAGGGGCCAAACAGTGATGGTATTAAGTATCCATCACATTGTCAAATAGGATGCCGGCATGGACAGGATCTGGGTCTCTGTAGCTACAGAAACAGTACATAACTTTCTATGCTATCAATCTAGCTCACATCCATGTGACATTAGGTCACAGGATAGAAATAAAGTATAATGTCTCTTAGCTCCACCAGGGCTGTGATGTCCACAGACTTTCCCAATGTTAGGATCTGCATAGAATCGCCCAATTATAGGATGTCCCTAGCGGGATCTTAGAAAGTAATAAACGCTTCCGAAGTTAGGACGTCTATAGAACGTTGGCGCGTTATGCAATGGACTTCCTAGTTACCGTTGACGGCAATCCAAGAGTGACTAAACAGGAAGTTAACTGAACACAGAAATCCACCCTGTACCTTAAAATTGACACACAGTTAATGGTACGGAAGTAGCCAGTTTGTAAAGCATCAAGTTAAATTTTTGGAGGGGCACTGACATCCTCGCTCTTTCCATCCGATACATTTTGATTTGAGGATTGCTCAGACCAAAAATACTCAGTTTTTCGTAACACGAGTAGTCGCTTGTGGCTATTCGTCATTACTGCTGCCCTCTGCAGAAAGGGGGTCATCTTCAACAAAAACAACGGAGCGTCGTACCCAATGGAGTCATCATCACTGTCTGAAAACTTGAAGTCAGACGGTTGGCTTTGCGCAATTTTATTATGTCACCTCCGCTTCGCTGATGCGTGGTCTATTTTTTAAACCGATCCCCATAAAAATAAAATCCCGCGCGCAAGACTCTACGAAAATGCACCCTTTTGCGGCACACAAATGAGCAAGCGAATGTTAAATTGCGCAAGTAAACTGCGTGTTCAGTCCCATCGCCACTGTTTATAGGACATCGCAACTTCAAAGGTATTATACCACAACAGAAACAACTAAGACCGTCTTTTCAGCTAGATGCGTACCCTAAATACTTTTATGTAATGTCCAAACAGAAGCAATATAAAAACCAAGAGCGGATTGACGAAAACATACTTGTGCGTCCGCCGCCGTAGAATGCACTTAAAGTGAATGCCGCCATTTTAAATGCCGCTAACACTCCCACCGGAAGACTGATATTTTCTCCACTTCACAGACGGTGCCATCCGATGTGCAAACTATTGGATGTCGGGTTTCAATGACCAGAAATTTGATGGTGTTACAGTAGGTGCTTAGGTGTTTGTCCAATATAACGGACAAAGTGTGAATTGGTAGTATGCATTCTATGTAAGGTTTCTAATTCGCTTAGTACGACTTTCCGAGGGAGGCACATTTTCTCAAGCAGCGCGCGGAAATGATTTCCTGCTTTTTCCATTATATATCTTTTTCCATATATATCTTTTTTTATAAAATACATGCATAATTCAGGT